ATTGAGCACGCGTGTAAGCAGCAGCCGCTTAAGTGTCGTTCACATAGAATTCATTCAAAGAAACATTTGCTACTATTTTGTTTTGCAGAACGTCAAATACATTGTAGACATTTTTTAATCGAAATATATCTTTCACATGTGCTTCATTGAATATTTATTACTTGGAACAAGTAAATTTAACTTAATAATACAATATTAAAAGTGTAGTAATTGAATTGTCGTATAATTTGTTTTTTAATAGTTTTATAAATATTTTTAATATTCTTTTCTGTCAAGAATTATTAATTTTATTATTTACTACAATTTACTACAATTTATTTGACTTTATGAAATAAACACACAAACACATTTAAACATTTTACTTTTATTTTCCAATTTTGAGAATCGTGTGCAAAAATTGAGCCAATTAAAAGTCGGACTCGATACAAAATGTTCTATCTTGATGGCGGTTCTCGTGTGAACGACACTTTAGTCGAAGAATAGCATTACGGCGATGGTGAACACAACATTGCTCTCTCGGAGACGGCAGAACCGTCGCAACAATCGCGTTGCGCACTTGCCTAGAAAGGAAATAGGCTTTCCTCATTCCGCTTTCCATGATCGTTCAATTATTCAACGTTGCTCTCCGCGTAGCGCGCCTCGCCAGTCACGACGGACAAGTGTAATGAAATATTAACACGCCGTAATTAGAATTCAATTGGATATGCTCGGTGCAGCAATCCGAATTTATGCGTTTTGGACTCGAAAAGCACAGAGCGTACCACACGCTTCGTTGAAAACCAGCATTATTACCAGAATTAGTACCATTTGCCGTTGCTCGGGAACGTCATTAATCATCTTAGTGAGGCATAATGTGTAAAATTAAGTCCCCGACTGTATTACACGCGAAATGAAAAAGAGCGAGGAAAATATTAAAATGTTTCTGATTAATGACCTATGTACATTGTTTATGGACTCTTCCATCTTGAATTTAATAGAATTTTTATTTAATTTAATTTTGACATGAATATTTTTTTGCGCGCATGATGAACACTTAGTGGAATATTTCGCTATCTTTCAAATAAAATGGAAATATAGTTAATCTTGAAAATTTTAAAAATTAGAAACTTATCGTGAAATTAAATGGTGCTTAAAAAATTATAAAATTTTCAACGTTGCAATAAATTTTGCGCTTTTAGCAATTTCTTTTTTTCTTTCATATCAATATCTATTTTTCTTTTGTTTGTTTTTACAATTTCTCATTTAAATCGATCATTTAGATTGGGTCTAAGGGTGCTCTAGTATTATCGTCGAGATGAGTTTCTTCGCGTTAGATGCAGATAGAGCGCATCTGTGTGAGTATTTTAATAGGGGTATTAGCGATAAATTTAATACAAAACGCAGTTAAGATCTTAATCTTCAGCTCGTTTAAGTAAACTCATTACGCGGTCCTCACTTTGGAGGAAGTATAGCAGCAGCAGCAGTAGCAGCAGCACTCGTTAGCATAAACGATGACTCCTTCTCTCTGCTCGCTGTCGAGCTACATGTTTTAATACGAAGCTCGTTCTCTGCAAAACAAAGAGAATAAACTAGCTGCGCCGAGAGGAGAACTTTTGTTTCTTTATTAACGCGTCCGTTCCAACACATTTGATTAATTCTTTAGATTAATGTTCTTTTAAAGTTCTATCTATGTGCGAAGTAGTGTATGTGTGTATTGCTTGTTGAAAAATTAAATCCAAATTTAACTGTACTCGAGTGAGTTTGCTTAGTGAAGTTTACAACGAGCGCATTGAATAAAAGCTTTGTTACTGATTTGAATATTAACTGAGTTCTTTTCTTTGTACATATATATAATTACAGAGATAATAAAAAGAGAATAAAGGGAGGAAAAAAAGAGAGATCTGGAATTTTTTTAATAATAAAATAATATCGAAAATTTTTCGTATACTTATATTAATTATATCGCGTAATATCGTAAAATATTCCAATAGAATCCGATCGATACATTACTTGCGATAAAAACAATATTTTAAACATCATGCTTTACAAAAAGCTTTAATTGTTTCGCAGAATTTTGATATAAAGTGTGTGTATTCATCTTTTATTTCCTTTCGTTAATTTTCTTTTTTATTGAGAAATTTTCTTTACAAAATATTAATCCCCGTGGAATATCGATCCCATTTCCTAAACGCATTTCGTTAGCTGTAATCTGTCTTAAATCCAAGTATTCGCGAGTTAACTCAACTCCGTTAACAAGGTAAATTCTCCCTCGGCAGATCTCGGTGGTGGACTTCATTGACGTCATTACGATCGAGGTTCGCCAGAATGCTGCGCCCACAGTACGGAATAGTTCGGGCTTACCAATTGTTCTCCCAGGAATGCCGTCAATCTCCATTCGTGGAATTGTTACGAGACCGGCGAGCGGCGAAAGCAAGCGCCCCGTTCTCGCCTTAACGACTCGTCTTTATCCCACTCCCGGTATAAATGGCACCGGATATTATTTTCGTCGCGGAACTCCTTCGAAGTCGCGCGATTAATCTTGTAACTTAATGCGGCTACGGTGTAACTTAAGACCGGGGCAAGTTCCCGGCCCCGTCGCGATCGTGTGATTTCGCGACTTCCGCTTCTTCTCTCGATTAACTCCCGGATATATATTACCTTTCCCCGTGACATGAGTAGAGCTGATCTGCGAAAATATAAATTATGATACACATTTTGCTTACTGAACTCGGTACTGAATGAAATTGTTACATGAAATCCCTGACACGAGTTTTAATCTGTCGGATAAAAAATTTTACACTTACAATGTAACTTGAAATAATAATTATAAATTTTATGCGCGCGAGTAAATTATAATAAATAATTATAAGAAATTATGAGAAATTTATTAATTTTCTCATCACAGAATATATATAAAATGTAGATTCTTAGAATTTTATCTTGTCCAATAAAATTTTTACGAGAATTTACATCAAAATTTGCTGTCATATAGAGTGTTATTATTTTAAAAGAGTTTAGACTGATTATTATATATAAATTTTTTTTATATTTTCTCATAAATTATAATTTTTAGTTTAAAAAAATTTGTTATAAAGATTAATTTCATAAACCGATAATTCATAATGAATCTTATAAAAATTAATCTGCGCGTTAAAGTATTGCATTTTCTATCAAGAAAAATATGACAAATCATTCTTGAATAATTTATATCAATATGCTTTACTTTGCTTTACAGAAGTCACTGCTCGATTATTTATCTTTTACCATAAATTATTATTTTGTTATTTGATCGTTCTATTTTTTTATATAAAAGTTATGGATCGATCGACGGGATTTAAGCAACGTATACATTTACAAAACTGTTATCAGCCGTAAATCTCATTTTTTATCTCAGATTATTTTTTTTCTGGCACGCAATATTTCGTCATCCGTTGTCTTCTTTTATTTCCTGCGCATCGACCACATTCACCACCACATGTGTAGCAGTCGTATATCGCGTATAATGTTCCGAGAGGGCTCGGTTTTACAGAACACGAAATGAATTCTGCTATTCTCTTTCTCTCTCTCTTTCAATCGAAAGATTGTCTATATACATATATCTCTCTCTTCGTCTAAATTTCCTCGTTTCTCTTTCTCGCACCGGTCGTTACTGACGCGGGGCGGTTGGACGGTGGCCAAAATGCCGCCGGTAAAATTAATCGTTCCCTGACACGAATTCCTCTCTAAGTGGGAATACCAATTTGTAGGTGCGAAACAGAGAGAGCGCCCCTGGGAGAAAGGGAGGGGGAGAGGCGAGGAGATTGCCTCGCGTTGTACGCGCCCGGGGTGAAAGCCGGAAGGTAAAGAGGAGGAAGGAGGAAGAAGGAGGAGGAGGCGGCGATCGGATAGAGCGGGTCTCTAAACATGTCGTTATATCGAAGCTAACAACACACCCGGTTTACGCTTGTTCTTGGGTTCTCCCAAGAGTATGCGGCGTACGCGGCGCTGGTTATTGGCTGTCGACCAAATGCCCCCGAAGACTTATCCCCCTATCGAGCATTGTTTATGAAAGCAATGCAACTACAAAGCGACGCGCGTAAGTCTTTCCAGCTGGCCAGCCGCGGTGCCAAATTAGCGCTGCCAAATTAATTGGAATCGTTGAATTCTCAAACGGATGTCGAGCTCTCGTATCATGACTCATAAGCTCCCCTAGTAGATAATTTTATTTCTAATTTTAATTCTAATTTTAGCTTTTTAATCCACACTTTGTTGCATAATTTTGAGCCCTTTTTTTCGAAAAATTATATATAATTGTTAAGTAAAAAATTATAAAAAAATAATAAAATGTATATCGAGTAGAAAAATTTTAATCGCACATATAATGTTCAATATATTTTTATATTATACAATTCTTTCAGTGATCGCGATGTACTTCAAGATATAACTTGTAATTATTTGTAATTTTTACTCTACGACAAGAGATATAAGAGTCAATAATTAAAATACCAACAATGTAATCAGTTGTATATAGCAAAATTGTATAATGGCAAGTTGTATCGTAAGACGGGATATTATATGGTACTGAGGTAAACGTGGTTTGTCGGCTTCTTTTTAAAATAATAATTACACCGCTGGAATGCGTCTCGTGCTAGCGGCATATCTATCAAGTTGATGCGCCGACAAGATATATCTCGATGTTGTTTTACAAAGAAAATGGAACAGACTGCGCTAGGCTCATTACATTGCGTAGTTGCTACATCTCTGTGGTATTTGTTGCCACATCATATGAGAGATAGAACCATTCTTAAAATATCAGACAATGATACGTCTTTTTCTCGAGATAGATAAAACGCAGCTTTCAGATTCTGACATCTTATATCTGCAATAATTCAATTGAATAAATTGGCTGAAATTAGGTAACGAGCGAGAGAACATCCAAGGGGGAAGGACTATTTGAAGGAAATAATCTTGGTTAAGTGCAATCGTTATACATTCATACAACGTCGACGTGAAGGTAATCATTGAAATTAATCGTGTTACAGATCGGAAGCACGTCGTTCAGCCGAAGCGCGGTTCCATCGGGAGATCGAAGGGAAGAACCGCACGCTAGGCTGACGCCAGGCCGACCGGGAGTATCCCCGACATGGCTTAACTCGCGACAAGCGGAAGACAGGTGGAGAGAGGAGTGTCGGGAATGCACGGATGATCGCCGAGATTCGCCTACAACGTCGAAAGTAATCACGAATGGTGTCGAGTGGGGTGTTCGTGATCGCGTCGAGGGGGAGGGGTAGGAGTGGCTGTGATCGTAGTGTCGTGTCTCGGGAATTAGTGCGTCGTCGGAGTGTCTAGGAGTGGTGGATAGAGGTATCGCGGGGTTGCACGAGTAAGAATTAACGACAGAAGCAAGTGAAAAAGCGGTGAAAAGAGCTCAAGGTGGATAGGAAGGAGGACGCAGGGGGACGAGAAAAGAGAGATTCGGCCGGATATATCGCGAATTACGTCGAGCTAGAGTAGCCGCGAGAGAGTGAGTGATGTGTTCGATGGACGAGGCGCGTCTCGCGGGCGGTGGTCGGGGTAATGATAACGCGTGTAGTCGCGCACGCTACGATTGCTACTCGGGATCCAAAGTGAGAAAAGGCGGGCAGTCGGTGACCAGGCTGGCGGGCGCCGGGGAAACGTTTCCAAGGGCATGGCGACCACGCCACTAGGCGGTCGCCTCCCTAACGTAAACCGCAAAGGACCATCTCCGTGCGTCGGTGGTGGTGGTGCTAGTAGTAGTAGCAGTAGTAATAGTAGCGGTGGCGGTAACGGCAACCCCAGTAACGGTAGCAGCAGCAACAGCAACAGCAACAACAACAACAACGGCTTGGGCAACAACAGCGCCGGTGGTCAATCGAAGAGACAGGAGAGAGCGCTGATCGGCAGGGAACACCGCGATCATCGTCACCATCATCATCACCATCATCATCACCATCATCACCACCATCATCATCATCAGGGTCGAGACAAGTCATCCTCGTCGTCGTCATCATTATCGTCGTCGTCGTTGTCGTCGTCATCGTCGGGCCAGCAGCGCGAGCCTAATAAAGCAAGCACAGTGGCTGCTAACGCCGGTGAACTGGATCCGGCCGCGACGAATGCGACCAATAACTTTGAGTACGACGACAACGAATGGGACATCGGCATAGGTGACCTGATAATCGATCTTGATGCGGACATTGAGAAGACGAGGGACGAGAAATTGAGCTCGGGGACAGGCATGGCTTCTACGCCTGCCTCGGCAGCATCGGCACCGAATAACGCGAATCATCATCAGTTACAAAACTCAACGAGCCTCAACTCCTCCAACTCCTCGTCCGTCCCGTCGGCTGGCGCGAACGCCAGCGGCCAATCTTCGTCGTCCACTTCGTCGTCGTTGTCGTCGTCCTCCTCGTCGTCTTCATCGTCGTCGTCAACGTCCTCCTCGTGCGGCGTCAACTCGTCGGCGCGCTCCAACAGTCCCGGTAGCGGTAACGCCGGCGCGAACGGCGCCGGGAACGCGAACGGTACCGGCAACGCGAACGGCACCGCGTCATCCGTGGTCACCGGCCCCGGTAACAAGCAAGCGTCGGGCGTCAACGTGAGCGGCGTAAACGCCGTCCACGGTAACGCCGGAAATCCCGGCAAGATGGCCGTTGAACACTCGGCCACCGTCGACAAGGGCCTCAAGATGAAGATCAAACGCACCAAGCCCGGCACCAAGACGAGCGAGGCCAAACACGAGATCGTCAAGTCCAACGAGATCAACGGCACCGCCTCGTCCCAGGACTCGAACAACGGCACCGCCGCCTCCTCGACGTCCTCGTCCTCGATCGCCGGCTCGGCCTCCGCGTCGGCCGCGATCGCCCAGAACTCGCAGAACTCGGAATGCGGCGCGGCCGGCGGCGGCGGCCAGTCGTCCTCCTCCAACAAGTCCAAGCCGAGTCACTCGCCGGCGTCGGCCGCCGGCGCCGGGGGCGCCGCGCCCTCGTCCACCGCCGGATCCAAACGCGGCTCGAGCGGTCATCGGCGCGACAAGGCGCGAGACAAGCACGACAAGCCGCAGAGCAATCACACGCCTCAGCAGATCAAGCCGGAGATGAACGGCACCGCGCGACCGACGCCCCAAGGCCAGAACTCGGCCGGCGGCGCGACGCAGTCTCAGGGCCCGACCCCGGCCGCCACGGCGCCGCAACAGACCCAGGGACCACCGCCCAGCTCGAGGACGGGTTTCTCCGTGTCCCAGGGCCCCGGCCCGCCCGCGACCAGCGCGGCGGCGCCCTGTCCGCCCCCGAGTCCGGCGAGCGCGACGGCGACCGGCGCGGCGGCCAAGCCGGAACAGACCAAGGTCGCCGCGGTCCCGGGCCCGCCGCTCACCACGCCCGCCGAGGAGGCCATGGACACTGCCGCCAGTCCTCCGGCGAAGAAGATGAAGACGGAACCGAAGGTAAGTGACTTCGACGCCGAACGCTGTTTCCTGCGATATTTACCCATTTTATTCGCTCGATATTTCTAAAGTTTCTCCAAATTTTATTCCGACAAAATTTATTTACAATTGAATGGTGAATGATATTCACTTGTTTGTTTTTATCCAGAAAGTTTCATTTTCGAGATCTCTTTATTTTCTCAGTTGATTCGTGGCCAAAAAACTAAATATTTTTAATTCCAAAAAGAAGGTATACTCACTCTCTGCCAACTTTATTCTATATAACACACTTTAGCGCCATTACTCATTGTTTCGCATTTTTCATCAATGACAAATCACAACTTTTTCAATTTTATCGCTTGATATTTTTAAGTTTGAAACTTGATTAAAGCAAAATCTATTTCGAATTGAATGGCGAGATGATATTTGCTTGTTTATTTTTATTTACAAAAAGTTCAATTTTCAAGAAATTCTCTTTATTCTCCCAATTGATTCGTGACTGTACTCATTTTTTGCCAACTGTCAAATATTTTATATAATACACTTTAATAGCTCATTTGCATTTTTCGTCAATGACAAAGTATATCTGTCACTGAGTCTAAAAAACGGAAAGAAGAAAGAGATATAGTATTGTTTTTCCTTTGTTTAAGAAACAACGAACTGAATTAAATTCGTTGACTTTTTTCTCGCATTAGATTACCGTGTAAGAACGGGAAACATGTTAAGTGCAAGAACAACAAGAGAATTTCCTTTCTCTCTTTCGAGTCATTCCGGCCGGAAGATGTATACATATATGTAATACCAGTTTCCGGCAGCTCGTTAGCCACGAGTTCGAGCACAGACCCTCCTCCGATCGGTATCTTCGTCGGCGGCGGCGACGCGTGACGCTCGTACGCACCTAATTCATTCGCGGCGAGATGAGAGTCGGCAGCCGAATCAATTACATAAGTCCATATGCATAGAACGCGAGCGGACTGAAACGAAACGATATTGCGTACGATACGTGCACGTGCACGCGTAAATGCTACGTTCCATTTCGTTGCGTGCGATGGAAAAAATTTCGCCTAAAAGCTGTGGAAGGTTGTAGTAAGAAAAAAAGCACTTTAGATTATCAAGAGAGAGTTGCGACAAAAACTCAAGATACATTAATAAATAATCAATGCAAATTCCTTCGAAAGTGATACGATTGCTTGAAAGGTTTAATTTACTTTTTATGTCAATAATCTTTTTAAAGTACGATGTGTGAAGGATTCTAAAACAAGCAAGACTTTTTTACCGTAAAAAAATATCTAAGCCCTTTCGAAATTTAACTCTTTCATTTTATTAATTGAAAAATTCAATAGAATCTTGAGAAAGAGAATTAAAAGATGACGAGGACGCGATAAAATTATCATTCACGTCTAAATGGAAAAATCTGAAGAATCGATATACTATATTATATCTTGACATGTTTCGCACATTTGCTTCTCTTTTATTCTATATCGGGGGGACGACACTATCGCCGTGACACTTGAATAAATAAATCCGCTTCTCGTATGGTGGGACGGGAGCGTTATTGTAAAATACGAGAGCTTTGGTTTTCCGTCGCGAACTCGCACGCGGACGTGCATATGTATATCTGAAAATAAACGCGGAGCGAAAAATATATCGTTTGAGAGATACAGCGAAGCGCCATAAATAAATCTCGTCTCACGCGCGCGCGTTTCCCCCCTTGATCCGCAGCTCCATCGAAATTTGTGCATTATTTCCTCTCGAAAAGATCCATAACATTTTATCGCATTTTACAATTGATCAAACATGACGCGAACGGGGTGAGTTTTCTTGTCGAATGCACGGGGAATATTTTTTTTTCTTTTTCACGTCGTTTGTACTTGGCCGCTGTGCGTTTATAATGTATATAAATGTTTCAGTTGTAAACAGCACAATCGAAATGAAATCTTCTGGTTTCCCTAAATTTAGGTAATTCCAGAATTTTACTTGTAATTTTAATTATTAAAATTAGCGAGAAAAGTATAAAATTGAAATATATTGCCCGCAAAAATGGTGGCTCGATTTGCGAGGAATATACAGAGTGTTTCTTGAGTGATCCAGTTCAAAACTTCTCTCAGAAAGTAATTCCTTGGACTTTAAAGAAAAAAGTTTCTATGAACATGAGTCTGGAAATGCTTCCCTGCAAAGCCTTCAAAGTTAAAGAAAAATAAGAGAATTTTGTGATTATCTTTCTCGTACTTTTTTAATTGAAGGCTCTTAATCGAAACTCCAAAAGCATACGCTTCGTAAACATAAATATTATGTTTGCGATCTTCGCGACAAAATTTTCTTTACTATTCAAAATATGTTCAGAATTGTTGAATAGCCAGAAAAATGCAAATGTGTGTAGCTGCGCAAAGACACTTTGAGCATTTAATTTACTCATTACTTATTCAATAAAAATTACGAAGATAATCACAGAAGAATTCTTTTCTCTTTAATCCGTGATTCTGCAAGAAAGCATTTTCTGATCCATGTTTATAGGAACTTTTTCCCTTTTCCCCCGAGGGAAAAAATTCCCTCGGTCAAGTAATTACTTCCTGGCGTTTCGGGCATCATTTAGCAAACACCCTGTATACATGTCTCACGCACAGGACACTAGTATATAAGCATATATTGTTGCGAGTCGCGAGATTCGCACTTTTTTCAACGAGCCTCGGTGTATCTCTCGCCTTGGCACACATCGGGCCCATCGTCGCGCTCGTACGTGCTCGTTCGCAACCTTGTTCGCGAGGCATGTAACGCCGGACACGTACTCGCGCGTCAATCAACTCGCGTGTATGTCGCGGATGCGCCCGCGGCTCGGGTCGGCTCGACAACAAAATTGGGAAGCGCCCGCAGTGGAAAACCGACGTGTACGCTCGAATGTATGTACGGCGCGTTAACTGTTAAACGTCCCGGTTCAACGTAATGGCATTTTTGCGTGCTTCAAAGAGCGCACAATGTCGCGCGTAATGTCGTGGAAAAGGAATTTACTGCATCGCGGCAAAATTGCATAGCCGCGAGTAAGTCGTAATTTTTCAAATTTTAATTGTACATAACGGAATACCTCTATTCTCTCCATTAGAGGCGCGAGGAACGAGATGGGAGAGATTCCGTTAAACACAATTATGTCACCAAGCCGCATAAATGACGCTTTTTCTAATCGCCTTTACAATCGTGTTCGTTTTATACTTCAATGAATGCTAAATTTCCTTCATGCTTCTTTTTTCAGTTCCGTATTAATTTGCATACGCACGGATTATGCACCTTGCAAGCTGTAATTTCTCGAGAGTGAAATAATTTCACGAGAGCCGAGATGTAATTTTACATAAATCGCGATACACATATTTATTACCATATAATAGATACGATATTTCGATGGTCCGAGTTTTCGCGCGTTCAAGGTACGAGGTTGAACAAAGACAGAGATTGGCATAAATACTATACTTTCGCTCTTTGTTTACGACAATTAAAGCGGATATATATTTTCACTGGGCGTCTCTTGTCGCCAATCACGTTTCGTGGCAGTCGCTTTGTCCAAGTTGTTTGGAAAGTATACCGACACGTCGATACATGGCCGGTTGACGTGTATCATCTATTTATTCACCGTCCGATTCGGCGAGTGACATCGATACGAGTGCTCTCTCCATTGTAATAGCGGCGTCATTATTTTTGCACGCTGCGATTTGCCACGATATTATTAATGATCACCGTGCGATCGTCCGAGGGAGGTAATATTTAACGAACGTGCATTCACGTGCGAACACAAGCGATATGTAATCTCGGTTCTCGCAACGTATTGTTTTCCAACCTCGCAATTTTCATCGAAATTTTCAAACGTCACTTGGAAAATGCGATTTCACGATTAATTTTCTCGACATTTAATTATCAAACTTGTAAATTGATCTTTATTTTCTTAATTCTTGATTTATTAACACAAGTAATAATTAATATCCTCGAGTTTGAAATTTACAATTTTTTAATTCATAACTTTAATTAATTTGACAAACATCGTATAAATTCAGAAATTAATATACTGACTCCCTCTCAGTTAATCTCGCATCGAAATTTTAATAACCCGCGGACATGCGGTTAATCGAGCCGCGATAAAACGAGCGGATTAACGGACAAGAAGCTGTTTGATAAATATTTTTGATCGCGCCCTCGTCGACTCGGGATTGACGCTCATCGATGTCGGAATGAGTTGCGGGGGTTGTTGGGCGAAAGCCGAGGGACAGTGGTCCGAGCAAAGTGGCATAGTCGACTACTCTATGCACCGAGGGGAATAATCCGTTATATCCCTAGTATAGATCCCTAGTATAGAGAGTAGAGGTTCTCAAACACATGGTTTCTCAAAGCGTAAGCGTTTTGTACGTTTTAACGCGGTTTACGAACTCGATCGAAAACTTTTAGCTCTCGATGCCAACATTTTGTCCAATATTTTGACATATGATTCATTATAATTAAATTAATTTGCTTAATAAGAAAATTTTGTTTTATGTATATTTCTTTTAGCAAGTCGTTTAATATAAATTGAAAATTTCTTGATATGTATAATAAATTGTGATAATATTTCGATTATACCAAAGTTTTTATAAGCGAGATCATAAAAATATTATCATAGGAATGTTGCTCGTATGAATATTTTTTTTTTACATCGAGATTTATTTAATTTAGGAGGAGAGGCAAGTTTTTTTTCATCATGCGAAATCGTCGTCAGTCTATGTAAATTTTTATTTAAAGTTAAATTGTGCGCTTATTGCGAGAGCGCACTTAATTAAAAGTTGCGTTAGTTTCATGTTCGTTCGATGTGCCAATCGAGTAAAAAATGGCATTGCTATTCGTTCTAGTTACCTGACGTTTCTTTTACATCGGCGTAGAGTCAATACACCGGTGAAGGACCGAGCGATTAATCACAAGTTTCAATTGTCGTAAACTTTTGGGTCAATCGAGTTATCGGTTTTTGTCGCGAAGCGTCATGTTTCCTTCCGCCTTCCCTCATATTACAA